ATCACACTCATAATTCCTCTTGTTATTTATATTGTCGTCATCTCACTCTCAATACCTCTTGTTACTTATATTGTCGTCATCACACTCATAATACCTCTTGTTATTTATATTGTCGTCATCTCACTCTCAATACCTCTTGTTACTTATATTGTCGTCATCACACTCATAATACCTCTTGTTATTTATATTGTCGTCATCACACTCATAATACCTCTTGTTATTTATATTGTCGTCATCACACTCTCAATACCTCTTGTTACTTATATTGTCGTCATCACACTCATAATACCTCTTTTTATTTATATTGTCGTCATCTCACTCACAATACCTCTTTTTATTTATATTGTCGTCATCACACTCACAATACCTCTTGTTATTTATATTGTCGTCATCAAACTCACAATACCTCTTGTTACTTATATTGTCGTCATCACACTCATAATGCCTCTTTAACAAGAGGTATTATGAGTGTGATGACGACAATATAAATAACTTTTATATTGTCGTCATCATCTGACGCACATGGTCTGTTGTTATTGATATTGCTCTTATCATACGCACATTGTCACTTGTTATTGACATTGTTATCATCTGATGCACATTTTCTCATGTTAATGACATTTTTGTTATCATCTGACGCACATTGTATATTGTTATTATCAATTCATCCACATTATCTCTTTTTTATTGATATTGTAGTTATCATCTGACGCACATTGTCTCTCTTGTTATTAATAATGTTCTTATAATCTGATGCACATTGTATCTCTTATTACTGATATTGTTGCGTCAGCGAGGTCACGTGACTAGTATCACGCCACGTCTTTCTCAAAGTACCCTGTTCCTTCATGAATGTCCTAGCATTTACTAGACATGTGCTAGTCTTGTATATATATATAAGACGTTCACAACGTGACGGCACAATAGTGTATTGTGTAATTGAACTGAGTATTGTCGAGCACGAGCACGTGAGACGTTCTAGAGTTTGTTATAGAGCGACTGTTGAAATTAAGTGTATCGGTAAAGTTATATTCGGAAAGAATAAACCAGTTTTATTTAAGAAAGGACTTGTGTCGCTAAAGTTTCGTCGAAACGAATTTACAGAAAATTAAGTAACGACTGGAGGCGTAGCAATATCATCTGACGAACATCTTGCTCTTGATATAGTTGATGCACATTCTCTACTTAATGATATTCTTATCATCTGACGCACATTGTATTTTGTTAATAATGTTGTTGTTTTCATCTGAAGCACATTGTCTCTTGTTATTCATATTGTTGTTATCATCTGACAAACATTATCTCTTGTTATTGATAATGTTATCATCTGATGCACATTGCTTCTTCTTAGTGATATCGTTATCATCGGAGGCACATTGTTTCTTTATATTGATATTGTTGTTGTCGCCTCACTCATATTGTATCTTTTTGTTCATATTGTTGTTATCACCTTACGCACAATGTCTCTTGTTATTGATATTGTTATCATCTGACGCACATTTTCTCTTCCTATTGATATTGTTGTTATCATCTTATGCAAATTTTTCTTGGCATTGACATTGTTTTTGTGTTTCTCTGTCTCCGAGATGTCGGTGAGTATGATTACAGCATGCTTCGATTTCTTTTATGTAAGTAAATCTGAACATTTTAATTACTCGCAGGTTGTATTATTCTGAATTTTTCAAAAATTCACATTCGTGGATTGTATTTCATTTAGTGTCATTTACATGTAATGTTGGTTTTGTTCTAACATTAATTAAACGTATTTCATTTCGCATTATTTTAATGTTGTTATTGTAACAATACGTAACGTTTAATTTATATCTCTATTGTTTATTAGAGGAATTCAATTATGAAAGTTTATTTTAATAAATCATAGAAATAATATGTTTCTTCTACAGAATGTCTACGAAAAGTATTCTACGAGGAGGTTCTCAAGTAGATGGTGATGATTTTATTGATGCTATAAAAACTACAGCGAGACGATTTCCTCTTGAAATAGCAGTTATCGACAATGAAACAAAACTCACCTATCAAGAGTTAGACGGATATGTCAACAGGTTAGCTCGTAGTGTAACTTCGGCCATCAAGTCAATGGTGTCTGGACAGAAAGAGATTATATTAGCCATCTGCATGACCCCGTCTCGCAAGAGCCTAATTGCTCAGCTTTCTGTTTTTAAGCTTGGTGTGGCCTATGTACCAGTAGACCCATGTTTTCCAGTTCAGCGGATTCGTTTCATCCTGAAGTGTACCCAGCCATTTTGTGTCATTACAGAATCGAGTCATACAGAGATTATAAAGTTACTCAGAAGTGACAATGTTACCGTCATCAATGTAGATGATGTCCTGTTTTCAAACTCCTCAGAGTTTCCAGAAGATGAACAGAGGCTTCACGACCAGCCTTCTCTTGCAGTTATAATGTTCACATCAGGAAGCACTGGGGAACCAAAAGGAGTCCGTCTTGGTAACAGAAACCTCAACAACAGGTTTAAGTGGCAACTTCTAAACTTCCCCATGGACTGTAACACAACGTGCTCTGCTATAAAAAGCCTTACTTTTGTTGACTCCCTGACTGAAACATTTCCACCACTGATGGCTGGTAAACGTCTAGTTATCCTTCCAAACATTATAACCCAGAATCCTAAAAGTCTTCTTCAACATCTTCAGAAACATCAAGTCACCAGGATAGTCGTTGTACCAACTTTGTTACAAATGATTCTTTGGTATCTCAAGATTGAACCAAGTTTCCGAGAAGACTCAACAATAAAGTTGTGGGTATGTAGCGGAGAAACTCTCACAAAGAAACTTCTGACAGAATTCTTTCTAGCTTTCCCTTCTGGCAAAATTGCTAATTTCTATGGATCTACAGAAACCACCGGTGATGTAACGTTTGCTTTATTTGGTGGAGAACAACAATGTTATCATGATGTTGAAGATTTAGTTCCAATTGGCCAACCTCTATCTAATACTGAAATATATGTAACGAACGATTATTTGCAGATTGTGCCAGAAGGAACAGTAGGAGAAATATGTGTTAGTGGATTGAATGTGGCCGAGGGCTACCACGCAACGAAGAGAAAAGATTCGGCTAGCTTTCTTCAGAATCCGTTTTCAGACAAATATGACATTGTTTATAAGACAGGAGATCTAGGGTTTGTTCGAAATAACATTTTGTATTACGCTGGTCGGAAAGACATGCAAGTAAAAATTCGGGGAATGAGAGTAAACTTGGAAGAAATCCGAAGAGCTATTGAAGTTATACCAGAGATAAAACAAGTGGCTGTTTGCTGTGATAATCCACAAGATTTGGACCAAACATCTTAGCTTTCTTCACTCCAAAGCAAGGCCATGATTTAAAAACCAGGAATGTCCAAGAAACACTTGAACACGTTTTTCCGAACTTCATGATTCCTAAAATATTTAAAGTGGACCAGATGCCTCTCCTGGTCAATGGCAAAATTGATCATAGTGCATTAAAGAAAATGAACAACAGAGAAACTAAACATGATGGAACTGAATCATTGGAAGTTGATAAATATGTCAACACAAACAAAGACATCGTGGACATCATATCGTCAATACTTGCAGTAGATAAGCCAATGTTGGACCTTAATAAATCTTTTTTTCAAAATTGTGGAACTTCTCTAGCAGCAGTTGAAACTGTCATAAAGCTAAATGAATTTGGATACCATGTTGATATAAATGATTTTCTTAGAGCACCGTCGTTAAGTTCTCTTGTACAAACTGTTGCTGGCTTCCAATCAGATGAGAGTAAGTTAAAGCAACTGAAAGTTCAAAATATATCGAATGTGACAAATTTTGACGACGTTGCACATGTAATTGCAGAATCATTTACCAAGAAAAACCCTTTAGATTTGTTTTTAAAAACGTCTGTCGAGGAATATACTGAGTTCCTGAGGCTCCTGTGGAAAGATTTGGTGCAGCAAGAACTTTCTTTTGCTGCTGTTAACGAAACTTCTCACATTGTTGGAGTTATGATCAATTTTGACTTCTTCAACAAACCTCAAGTAAGAATTTAGAGGTATTTTTCACACCAACCTTTATAGACGTTATTAAAATGGTTGAATACTGCTGACTGAGTCACTCATTAGCTTATGTATTGAATCACAGATGAGCAGAGTCACCACCTGTTACTGAACTTATTTACTAACACACTCAGTTTGACGTCTTTCTACTGTACTAGTTTTTCATGTACTACAAGAAGCTGAATGTTCCTTAGTCTCCACATACTCCGTGTGAGACTTTGCTGAGTGATTATCCTCAGGATGTTGGTACAGAAGTTTTCTACCAAACATCAGTACTGATGGAATGCTGGCTGCAGCTTCATTACTGATATTAAATAACTCAGAAGTATCATTGGAAGATCTTGATCACATGTTCTCTAATGTTTTTCCATTTACAAGTGTAGAGTTTTGTTTCTCCATTCTTCCACCAGAAGATGGACGAAGGGCTATTGTCATAGTTTTTTTTTATTCCAAGGACTTGACACATTCCTACAAATAATGCTGACTGAATCTTCCGTCCTTGATCCATAGACAAACATTGAATGAAATTTATTGACAAGTTTCTGCTTCATGACAACATATTCCCCTGACCATTTGATAAAATAGTCTATGATAACCATGAAGTAGTAGTTTTCTTAACTCTCTCCAACACCATAGTTATCTTTACTTATTTCAATTTTCTACAGATACCCTACCTGAAATGTTCTCTTACCCTTTCCAGTATCTTCTTATTACCTCTGTGTCCACTTGTTGGAATGTTGTGAAGATGATGGATGTAGAGACTATGGAAGAACCGACTGTTCTGTTTTTCTACCGGTATATTTACATTTCACACATAACAAACCCTCTTGTAGACATGATGAGTTGCTTTGTGACATATATATTTTGAGCTGAATGTTAGTTCCCAACATATACTATTCTTTGATGACAGTTACTCACACGTAATGAAGTGTAGAGAAGCTACCTGGAGTAAAGGTAACTTTCCCTTCACTGGAACTATTTGTTCATATGCTGTTCATATCAATCCATCATCTTTCTTTACCTTTGGAGCGAAGTTCACACCTTTCATTACCAAACTATTGTAGTTCTACAACGAGTGCACCATACTGCAAGGCTTACTGTCAATATATCCGTTCACTCAGATATTTAAACGTCTTATATCATTTGGAGCAAATGGAGTATTCACAGCTTAAATATGCCCCTTCACTCCATCCAGTTTCTGTTTTTCCAATGTTTTAATAGCTTTTTTGTTGTACCTTAGAGTTGGTTGGGCTAGGAGATTTATCCTTCTGATATGTATCATCTCTGGTTTATTAATAGCTATATTGGTCATATTTCCAGCATTAATAAAAGTTCCACTTTTCTAAAATTGTGTGTGTTTTATTCTCTAAAGTTTTGCAGTTCCTTATAATATGTTCTTTCAAGTTACCTGTTTTGTTTTGGTTTACTTTCTTCATTCTGTTCAACTAATTATCTAGCCAATACTTCCAGTTCTTCTAAAAAGGTAGTGTATGTTTCAGTGCTACTTGATCTGATTATCCCACAACTTCTATATGTTGACTTTAGTTGTTTATCTGCAACTTTAATAGTTATATGATAGTATTAAGATGTTATTATTAAAATTTCTTATGCACTCAAACCAAGGTAAATGATAATTTAAATTTAGTAGTTAAATAAATGCCGATATATATCTAATTTATGGTATTTGCCAACAAGACTGACACACATAGTTTTCTTTTTTTTTAAATACAAACATATTTTAATATATTAACAATAATACAATTTACAATAACGGTTATTACAAATAGTTATTATAAACAGGGATTTATATACAAAAGTTTAAAAACTTACAAACAATGTCGAGTCTTCTTTCTAGTCTGGAACTTTCTTAATGGCTTATCGAAGGTTCACGATGAGCAAGTTAATTTCGAGTTGATGTAGGTACAATTTGCTTAACGGAAAGCTAGCTAGATCTATGGTCCTCACTGTTCATACGCCGATTATTTCTACCGATGACGTTAGGTAATGTGCTAATGTCCGATATGAATCCACGAAAGTTAAATGGTTTTTAATGTTCGAAATTTATAAATATTCGTGGTCAAATATCTGAAGTTTCCCGATTAATAAGCGTTATAACAATCACAGATATAACTTCCGAAGTTTATAGCACACTGACTATAGCAAATCAATAATAGATACTGTTTTTAGGCACGTTGCGTGGGTTATATTTATAGGCGTGTGGAGAGTTTATAGAAAATTCAGTTTACGTAACAATACTGATGCTAACGCTAGCATTCAAGTACACACATATATTGGTGATTCTTACACTTGAGAATAGAATAGGCAAGAGTTTCGCAATACAAATTTAACAGTATAAGTTATTAATACATATATATATATA